GCGCACCAGCTCAGGCTCCTTCCCCATCAGAGAGGTGACATTCCATGTCCCAAGAGCTAGCTTCTGCAGCCGAGGATCGGACCGCCAAGGTCCCCGCCTTCGACCACTGCCCAGCTCACAATGCACTCGACCCCTATGGCCCCTCCTACGGGTGGTGAGCCCATTGGAAGGGGGACCCACGTGCCTTGTTCGGGCTGTGCCCGACCAGGCCCCATGGGTATAGGCCTGGCCACCAGGCGCTCGCCATCGAAACAGACTACTTACTCATTAATCTTCCAGCCACTTATCCTGAACAGGGCCTGTATCAGGCAATATAGGGCACAAATCACCCTGGTACATCACGGGACACATACATGCACAAACTCTGATACTATGGGCAAGTTAGAGATAACTACAAGTCTTTGCACTGTGAGGTGAAACCCAGACAACATGGGTACAACATGCAATCACCATACATACACAAAGCAGAGGCCAGATTCGAACCCCAAACCGAACAGTGTGAGGCAGTAGTATTATCTACTGAGGCACCCATACACCGCACATTGTACCAGTGTATTTAGAATTACTGCACTTTGCCAATATGCAAAATCCTGTCCTGCCAGCAACCTAATTTAGTAATAATAATCTTCATACCAAGGTTTGATATTTGGGGCATTCCATTCCATTCCAATACTTGTACTCATATTTGTCCAAATATAAAAAAAAAGTGTCATTAATGCCACACTACCTGAATCAGACTCAGCCAAATTCGAAATCAATATAAATATATCGCACATGGTGGGGGGAATTCAAATCACAAAGGAAACCTAACCATTACCCCTCTCAGCTAGTCAAGATGGAGTCCATACCTAGCAGGACCCTCTGCAAGATCTACCCTCACCTTGGCATGTTCCGCCACCTGTGGGTGGAATTGCAAGCGAGGGAAGACAAATATTCCTGCCTCTGGCAACTGGCAACTCATGCCTGGCAGACTGTTTAGAACCTCCTGAGCTCGGCGTACATTATGAACCAGAGTTTCCTGAATGGCCTGGACCTCCTGAGGAGAAAAGGAGATCAGAACACAGATGATTGGTCACCATGACTTTATAGGAAGCTCATGTTAAATCCCTGCCAGTTTTCTTCATAATCTGGGTGATACTGATGTTCAGCAGTGGTCTCCAACCTGCCAATGGGGATGCGTGAAGGTGATGGTCTGATTGTTGCAATCAGCTAGGAATGTCTTAAAGATCGATCTGTTGATTGCAATCAGCCAGATGGTGACCACTGTTCTGAAGAGTTTGTTTTTTGAATATGGAAGCGCACTTGTAATTGAAAGGTTGCTGGTTTTAATCCCCAAACTACAAGATACCACTGAGGTACCCTGAGCAATTCAGGTGCAGAATTACCTGCCCACTGCTATGTCACGATGTCACATATGGGTTAAATGCAGAGGACATATTTTGTTGTTGTGCACTGTGTGCAGTGGTGAGTCAACAATGACTTTCACTAATTATTCACTTTCACTAACATGGGTATTGAGTCAGCTCCACTTCCCCATTTGATATGATGCAATACAGCTATCATCTTGTTGGGTTGTTGAATCTGGGCACCATTTATCTTCTGTATTGAATGTTTCTGTATTGAATGTTGCAAATTACTGAGCTGAGTGGGGTAAAAGACTTCACTGTGATCCATAAAAAACCTGCAACTTTATAGCCTTGGTGTGCTACAGTCTGGAGGGAGCTTTCTCCAGGAAATGTGCCTCCAACAGATGCTTATTTAAAACCTACTAGCTTGAGGGTGCCGGTAGCAGTTAGTGTTTGCCTCACCTGTGTGTACTGGACATAAGAAGCGTCTCCAGGTTGAGGAGGACGCGCCATGATGTCCAAAGCAACCTGACCTGGCACCGGTGCACAGATTTTTGTGCCAATCAGCCACTCGGCAAAAGGCATCACAGTGTGGTCAATGTTCACTAGCTCCACATATCCAGCACGGAGGCCACACCTGCAGAGAGGGGTCAGATGTTATGGCTTGACTGCGTAATTCCTTAACACAGTTGCTTATTTCTCCTTATCCTTCACTTGGAAACCAACAGGCATCTTTTTATTCTGAACAAATAGGGAAAAACTTTTTATTTTAATAATTAATCTGTTAAAGCCTTTTGTTGAATGGGACCATCCATCTATACACCCATTTTCCATAGCCGGTTGTTCTATTCAGGGTCACGGGGGTTTAGTGCCTATCCTACAACAACCCAGGATCGCAGTGAGTTAGGACCAGCATAGATATTTAACATAAGGAACATATATTTAGATACAGTACCAAGCAAAAGTTTGAGCCAGGGGAGCTATATAGGGGGGGGGGTCAGTATGATTCCAAGGGCCCCTAAGTGACAGGGACCCTAAAAAATGGAATATAACTGGATTGGTCTGGGTTGGGGGTCCAATCTCAAGCAGCACCAAAATTTAGTCTTATGGGCTGATGAAACCGTCGCCCCAAACTGTTTGGCCCGGCCATTGACTGCTTTAAGGCCAAGCCCAAGACTCCAACCTTCAAAATGAGTTTATGTAAATGAGTATGAATGCCAAACACTTCACTCACTCTCCCATGTAGCCCTTGGAGGCGGAGTGGACTGAGGCCATCTGCACTGTTTCAGAGAACTCTCCCCCCATTTCGAATAGCACCCTTTTGTAGGAGATAAACTCACTGTTGTCTCCATGCACTGTGTCCTGATACACCTGCATGCACAGCAGAAAAAGGATTCATCAGATGCGAACTTCAGAGGTCAAAGCACATGTAGCATGTTTAGAGGGTGCAGTGTGCATCGGAATCCAGCTGAAGAATCTGTAAGCATATAGGTGAACCTTTAAAACAATGTTATCAGTTAGGAGATTAAAATCTAATAGGTCATGCAACGATGTAAATGAACCAATGGTCACCCAGTTACCACTGAAGAAAGATCAGCAACAAACTTATATGTTAATACAACTCAACCTGGATAGGATAATGAGTAAATGAAAAATCCAGTGGTCACCTCATCAGCTAAAAGAAAGAGCTCCTCTTCAGCTGCAAACTGAATAACCTCTGCGATTGATTTCATAGTTTGCACATGACCTTTAGGAAAACACACAAAATATTAACACAGCTATGGAGACTTTCTATGAATGCCAGGTCTATAACAATCCATGAATACAGTCATAACACATTATAATGCATTCATAAAGCAGTATAAAAATGTTATATTTATAAAAAGGCATAACATTATAGGCATGTTTATTATGCATTATGAATACTTTATGAAACTCATCTATATTGCATTATATATACCTTCATAATGCAGAACAAAGCATTCTTAATGCTTATACAGACCCTTATGATGCATTATGAAGGAATCTATAGTGCATTATAGATGAGAGCTTCACTGGAGCTTATGAAGTATTAGAATCAACACTTAATGCCTTATCACTGTCAATAGAAGATGCTGTAAAGCTTTATTCATTATTATACCAACCATTATAATGCATTATGAAGGTATCTATAGTGCATTATAGGTGACAGCTTTAAGTGTTACCAATGATTTTATATCTCTGGGTTTGTTAGAGAATGACAGTTATCTCAGAGTTCCGCTTTAGGAGAGTCAGCTTTCAGGACTTAGTATCTAGGAATGTGTTTACCTGTGGGGTTCCCTGGGTTGATAACATAGAGTACTTTGGGACTGCAGTGCCCCCTTGAGTCTCGGAGGGCTCTCCGCAGCTCATCTATTTGCAGCACCCAGCCCTGTTCCTCACACAGCTGATAAGGTACCATCACAGTGCCCGTTTCTTCCAGGAGCATGGTGAACGTTTTGTATGTTGGCACTGGTGTTAGAACCCCAGTGTAAGGTGGCCCGTCATTAGGAATGAGAATTTCCAAAAGTAGCTGGTAAAGAAGCCAAAAAATTACTGTTCAGCTGTAATCAGTGAGCAACCACAGAACATTTCTGCCCATTTCATCTTACACTCCTGTAAATCTTTGTTTTCTATATCTCAGCTTTATTTTTCAAGAAAGCAATGCAGCAAAGTTTCGTCATCCCATGTAGTCATACAAAGATGGGGGGGGGTGCTGTATTTCCCCTTTTATAAGTTAAAAGAAAGGCCGTTTATTTCAAGCTCACCGCCAAGGCCCTCTGGGATCCTCCACAGATGAAGATATTTTGAGGGGATGCAGGCACCCCCCCGTCTCGCCTGGTGATGAACTCAGCCACACTGCGCTGCACATTGGGTGCTCCACATGAATCTGTGTATGAACCTTACACACACATACACACATTGCATGAGTAACCACAGGCGTCAAGAAAGCTCCATGGACACACACATATGGGAGTGCAGATGATCACGCGCACATACATACGCAAGCTTGCAGATATTCAAGCCAACAGTCATGTGACTCCTGCAGAAGACTACCATGCCCCCACCCTCCCCACACCAACATATACACACCAGTGCTTATGTCACTGCAAACACACTGAATGCAGTTAAGTACAGTGCAACACAATCACAGATATACTGAAGTACCTCAACACAAAAACAAATACAGACCTCCACACACATACAGATGCATATATATCCAGACCTCCACACACATACAGACGCATATATCCAGACATCCACATGCAACTACAATTTATTTATCTAGCTGACACTTTTATGCAAAGTGATGTACAACTGAAAGCAGGGTCAGATGGTCCCTGGACCAATTGGGCTTAAGGGCCTTGCTCAATAGCCTATCATTCTGCAGATTCTGGGACCTGAAATGGCAACCTTGCAATCTCCTAGTCCTAAACCTCTGAGCCATACTTCTCCCTCCAAAATATTGTAGTCCTTATACACAATACACAGACACATATCCACACACACAAAAGCACAATCATAAGAACATAAGAAATTTACAAACGAGAGGAGGCCATTCGGCCCATCAAGCTCGTTTGGGGAGAACTTAACTAATAGCTCAGAGTTGCTAAAATCTTATCTAGCTCTGATTTAAAGGAACCCATGGTTTTAGCTTCCGCTACACTAGCAGGAAGACTATTCCATACTCTAACTACACGCTGTGTAAAGAAGTGCTTCTTCAAATTTGTTTTAAAATGTTCTCCCAAACAAGTAGCCATAAACTCACAAACCTGGCTGTAAACACACACATACATTCATACAAATAAGTCAGACATGTAACACGCACACACAGATGAATACACACAAACATAGGTAACTCTAGGCATTTCTCCCAGAGGGTGCAACATGAGAGAGCCCAACCAATGATCCATTACAAGCTACGCCAAACTTTATCCAAATAAATACATCTGTAAAAAAAAAAAAATAGTAAATACATTGCGTAAATTATTAAAATCACATATGACTAGCACAAGCCAAATGTTCAAATATAACTTTATAATATAATTTAATTTTATTGAACTTACAGTTTTTTTCAGATGCTAACATGCTAGAATCAAATGTAAAGCCCAACTTTAAAAACTGACACTCAAAGGTCAAAATGTGCCCTCATGTTAGCCAAAGTCTAAACACATAATCTAGCTTTGCACACAATTTACAATTAAACACAACGCCTTCTGTATCCCCCTACACACAGTTCTCTAAGTAAGACGCAGGAATCTGGCACAAAGTCACTTTTTGCCTTTCCTAAACACAGCCATTCAAACAACCACACCAAAGAGTCAATCGGCCACTCACACATGCCACTGGGCCTAGCACCTAAATACTAATTAGTTCATTCAACAATCAGAATTTGAAGACCCCAGATTTACATAAATTGTTCAACAACAATTGAAGCAGCAGAAAGAGGAAGAGGTCAAGGACCAGTGAGAGTGACAGGTGGAAGGAAGAGTGAGAGGTGGGGGGAGATCTGGAGGCGGACATCAGAGACAAAGAAGACCAGCACTTCTGAATGAGATGCAGGCAGCATTTGCTGATCATGTCATAAATCATAGGTTGACAATGAGAGAGGCTGGACAGAGGGTACAGCCAACCTCATGTCGTTTTACTGTTGTCTCTGTTACGGTTTTGTCTCTGTTACCTGCTAATTGCCAAAACTCATTTATTGAATCAATCACTCGTTTGGCAAAACTTTAGACAGTGCTCACCTAGTTAGACACAATTTGCAGATCTGAGTCACCCATTTTGCAAAACTCTAAACACATTCTCATTCATCAAAAGAAATTTTGCACCATGATGAACTTTGATGCCTAATAGAAAACACAGGCTACAAAAGTGAAGCACAGCCAGCACGCAGTAGTCATCATTTACACACAGTGACTGGAAACATTACAATGTGGGAAACATTACAATATGTGTTACCATCACAAATAATGGAGTTCTCCACCACCATGCCAATCTTGGTTCATACAACACAGACTTCATCATCTCGTTTAGTGATCCAGGGAGACCGTGTGGATGATGAAGGACAGCACATATACTGTATGTTGTAATATGGGACAATGTAAGTTTCCATCGTGCTACCCTGGTTCAAAATTGGTTTGTGGTCAATCCATTGTTCACTGTCATTTATCTTCCCCCATACTCTCCATTGCTTAACCTAATAGAAGAGTTCTTCTCGGCATGGCGGTGGAAGGTCTATGACCATCAACCACATGTCTGTGAAAGCCTTCTTCAGGTAATGGAAGAGACATATGAGGACTTTGATGCCGGTGCTGTTCAGGGCTGGATTAGACACTCCCAGCACTTTTTTCCTCACTGTCTATGGGATGTAGACGAGGTGCTAGAAGACATGACTAACTATCTCACAACTGCTTTTGCTCAATGTGCATGCCTGCATTATTTACAGTTTTTTTTCCCTCATTTTTTTCTCCCAAAAGTTTTGATTTGCATTGAATGTGTTTTGCCTTTTTAGTTTGTTGTTGAAGAATGAAATAAAAAGTTTCAATCTCATTTGTTTCTGCTCACATGTGTCTGTGAATTTGTCTGCAACAATTTCTCTTTGTAGCATTTTCAGCATACGCAATTACAAGAATCCCTCAAAAGACAAATGTGTTTTTAATTACATATGACAGTGTGTAGGTGGTTAGATTGAAATTTAGGGATGCGAATTAAGTGTTTTTGGGGCAAAAGTTTGATTTTGATAAGTGTATATATATAGTTTTGCATGCAGAGCTTCATTTTGCAGGATAGGTGAGGTGTTTTGCTCTTTGGGTGTGTGATTCTGTGAATTATGTTTAGTGATTTTAAGTATTGAGCCCTGTTGTCAAAATTGTGCTTAAGCAAATGAAAAAAACTGTAATATGTTCATATAGGACTTTCATCTGACCAATAGGTGGTGCAATTGCACCCCCTGCACCCCCGGTAAAATGGCCTCTGAACACACACAGCCGTTACCCATGCTCTCCCCATCGAGCTGTGCCAACAGGTCCTGGGCTCGCCGCCTCACGTCCACAGGCAGGTCGTCTGAATGGATGAGTGCCGGGCAAAGACACGCCGCGATCACCTGAGTCATAGAAAGAAGCACCCTTCTGAACAGGCGACCACAGAGACTCAGAGAGAAACAGACAAAATGCCCTAAGGGAGACACACAGCTTCTAGCATCAGAATGAGAGTCGTTTGTTTGTTGCCAAGTACCTTTACATACTAGGAATTAACTTCGTATTGCACAAAATAATCAAAGGCAATCATCCATTTTTGCAGGGCCGTGGGAATCTGGAGCTTATCCCAGAAGCTACGAGTACAAGGCAGGGCTAACCCAGGATGGGGCTCCAACTCATGGCATGGCACACGCACCATTCATACACACACTCACACCTGCTTTTGGACCTTGGGGTGAAATCCAGAGGAAATCCCATGCTTACACAGGGTGAACATGCACGGTCCGCACCCATAGAGACGGGGCAGAAACTGGAACCCTGGGGTCTGTATCACAAAACCAGATTTCTTGCTTAGCAGGACAACTTGCTAGATTTAAGGTACCCCAGTTACTTACTTTTAGCCCAGATTATTTTAAATCCGACAAATTATCTAGCTAGCCAACAAATCTCACTCAAATCTCTGCTGAATGCAAAATTTTAAAATATCCTCAGTACTTATTCTTTCTTTATGATATAGGTATATAGGCTCCAGGTCTCCAGAGGTGCGAACTGTGCTAGTCACAGTGCCACCCCCCCCCCCCCAAGTCAATCAATGTAATACAGCTATGCACATAAATTAAATAACATGCCCAATGCTGGTAATGTATATGGTTAGATGTGCTAGAGGGGTGTAAGGTGCTCTGTGTAATGCAGTGAATAGCACAAGGTCATCTGAAAAATGTTTTCCCATTTTCTGTCTTTAGATTCAATGAAGAAGGGACAAGTGTAAGATGTAAAAACCAGTCCAGTTGGTTTGAACTTGGTGCCGAAGGTTTTCTGCATCATTGAACAGTGTGGGAGATGGGTACCTGTCGCACGAAGGTCACGGGCATCATGCCGGTCAGGTGGGAGTCCCCAGATGAGACATCAATGACGTCACTGAAAGGCTTACTCACACCCTGTGGGATCAGCTCAGTTAGCTGGGGCACCATGACTCCATGTTCAACTCCATTATTTCCAGAAAAGTTATCCATCAGCCAAGCACTGAACAAACACATAGGCTTCTGACATACAGTTACTGAAAATCAGGTCAATACATATTAACAACTGGTGGTGATTATATCATGCATTGTACATATTTAATAATTTGGTGTTTTTAGTAATTGGTGTCATTATATAAAAGATATTGATATATTTTATCATGTGGACCTGTGCTGCTCCCCAGCTATGGAGATGTTTTAGGTGGGTGTCATTGTCTTACTGATTATACACCACACTGTATTATACACCACACTGTATTTTTAAATGTGCTTTATAAATAAATCGACTTTAAATAATAATCTTATTTCTCTTTATTGGGTGTTCTTGTAACCCTACTGCTATACCATGCAGCACCTTGGCTGACACTTGACACATGTCTCTCAATGTGCTTCTTAAATAAATTGACTTGACTTACTTGCTGCAGCTCAGCTCTGATCTGGCCAGCTCGTCTGTGCAGGTCATGCTCTTGTGATCCTCCTATCGCCCGAACATTCGGATCGATTGTACCAAGGCCAAACATGTTCCCTTAAGGTCCACCAGCTTCCAGCTTCATGTCCAGTATGAGTTCGATGTCAGCAGAGCAGCTCTTATGTATTTATTCATGACTTGAGGGTGGTGCTCATTGATGAGTGACGTAGTTGAACTCATTCATATTCTGTCCACTATAAGGTTTCCTACATACCAATCAAAAGCTCCATCAACAGAGTAAACTATTATTAATCGACATGTTTGTTCTTTCTCTTGATAGTTTTCCATTTAATTTGGCATTTTTCCTAGGACACCATTAAAAACATAATTTAACCATTTTTATGCAATGAATTTTATGACCCTTAGGAATAGGGCTTACAATGAACAAACCATTTTATGACCTTTGAAGAAAAGCTTGTAACTTTGACACTTCTTATTTGCCCACTGGAAGAAAGTCCCACCTCCTATACAGAAAGGATTGGCTATTTATGAAGATTAAACACGGCCAGCAATATGGACCAGAGAGTGTTTAATGGTAGATTTTTGTTGGCGAACTTTGTTGTGACTTCTGTTTTCATTTATATTTCTGGTCTTGGTCTTTTTTAAATTAACTTTCGGTCTTTATACTTGTACACTTGTGGGTATTTTCTCCACCTTTCAAGCACTCCTTCACTGCAATCTGCAATGTTTCCTCTTGAGGCCATATCCAAAGGTAACTGCAATACCTTGAACCTTAAACTTCCTGATAGCACGGTGGAAACAGGACCACTAAAATGTCTGGAGATTGTCTTGTAGCCCTGAGTTTGTCCTTGCTTGGCCTCAATGTTGTGTCTGACCTCTTCAGATCTTTCTCTCTTTCTTCTGTGTTCATTATAGTGCATAACACAGGTTAAATGAGTGATATTTAAAGTACAGCTATCTCCATATCGCCTCAGGGGTCCTGCTGTAATGTCCATTCACCTGACATGTTTATCCAAAGTTACTTACAGTAGAGGAAAGAGTTATATGTATCTGTTTAAATAAACCCTTGGTTATGAACTCATGACCTTTGCATTGTTAGTACATTGCGCTACTTTTTCAGCTACAAGAGCCATAAAGTAAAAGGACCTGCTCGACATTTATGTACTTCTTAAATAACACTAAGCTTGCCCAGACTATTCCAGGAAAAAGCAGCTAGGAATGATTTTTTTTTGGTTTGTTACACAGCAAATCCAAATTTCAATGAGTTACCAAAAGATTTTCTAAATCGATAGATTTCTGTAAGAAATTATTTGGCCATGAGATGCAGAGAAATTAGATACAATCAATCAGGCCAGTCAACCCAGCTCCTTCATTTCCACAAGTTGACTGAGTCAACATCAGGAATGCCAGCAACCCAGTTCACGCCCTCCTCACACTGGAATCAACACTGCTGCAGCACCACCCACACCGGCCTCTGCACACAGTTTCTTTCCCAGGGCCATCAGCTTGGTAAAGAACCTGCATCTGTCCACCCACTGCATGCTCACTGCATTGCACACTATTGTTAATAGTGTTAATTATCTAAATTATATACTGTACTGCTGTCAGTCTCCACATCCCCATATTGTGTTACCTATTACACAATATGTTTAATTATTTAATTGTGCTGTCTTGTCCTGTATTGCATTGCTGTTTGTCCTATTTTCCCCTTACTCTAGTCTCTTCCCCTGCAATTCTGGCACAAATATTTCACTGTCCCCCAAACACGTGACAATAAGCCTTGAAACTTTAAATCATGTGCTAATGTTTGAGCCAGATTATTTAACAGAAGCCCGTACATTTTACTGTACAGCCTAGCAGTGCGCAATACATCCAGGTAACCAGCCTGAACTATGATGCTAAACAGGGAGATTCCGTAAATACTAAATTCCCTAGAATTTTGAGTAATTGAACAACCAAGGCAAAGTTAACCATAAACTGAGCATTCTGTGAACCTGAAAAGGATCTGGCATCTGACATTATTAAGCATTTTGAAGCCCACCCATCCATCCATTTTCTATAGCCATTTGTCAAGAATTTAGAACAAAATTTTTTTAAATGACCAACAAGGATTTACAGCGTTCTCCCCAACACCATGAATCACTAATCAGCTGCCTTTCTTTCTGACATACTGTAACATGATGTGTGTGCTGTTGTTCAGGGGCTCTAAAAACGTTTAATCCTGCCCTGTCCCACACACAAACATCATAGTCGAACACACTCCTATTTTTTTAATATAAAAATGTACATTTTTAATCACAGTTGTTTTTTTCACTGAACAGTGTTTGGATCACCAGCTCTCGGGGGTTATAGCTATGAGCCACATGACAGGGGAACTGCCTAACATTCTCCTTCCCAAATTAATCATTAAGAGGTGTTGGCAGCATGCTTGTTTAGACACGTAAAGTTCTCGTTCACAGTGTTCAGTTTTGACTGAATAAGTGACCAGTTATACTTCCAAATTTAATGTTTCAAGTTTTTTAGGGCAGGGCTTAGTTACTGTAAGCAGTAATACTTTCATCATATTCTGAAGAATAGGAAGGAATTAAATTTATCCACTAGGGGGAGCTCTGAATGAAGTGACAGCTCTGTGGAACTGCTAGGTCTCAAAGTTGAACGATAAAGTAGATTCCAACTTAGACTGGGCATGGTTTTCATCTGCTCTTCTCTGGACACTGGATCTTATATCCGACCCTGTACGCCTGCAGGTATACCCTTGCCTGATTGATCCTGGAAAAAAGGAGATTATTTAATCTTCCATTGAACGGGTATTTGTATGTGACAGCGTACATGCACTGTTATTACCTGTACTTGGTGCAGAGCTGGACGCCCAGAGGACCACAGCGATCCACATAACTTTCTCTGACCCCCTTGCGTACAGCCCGTGCCATGCTGACCACTGTGGTCACCACTGGACACATCCTGAAACAAGCAAGGAGAAACACTGGCTACTAAATGGAAATAGGGGTAATAACACATGCAAACAACACAAACGTTCCAATGTTTTTTTTGCTTTGTGAAAAGGCTGAATGATTCCCCCCCATAAAATTTAAATTGTGCCATCTAGTGGCAGGAGGCCGAAACTTACAATTTCTCACAGCGAAGTCCAGCGGTGCCTACTGGACAGGTGCACTTATTTTGAGGACTGCAGATGGCGCCGTGCTGGCAGGGCGGCACACAGGGTGTGGTTACCTCTGGAATCACAGCACAGGCTCTCTCAATAAAGTGCTGAGGGCATCGCTAGAGATTCTGAGCCCCAAGAAAGCATGTAACATTGGGCCCCCAACCAAGACCACTCCAATTATGTTCCAAATATTTTAGGGCCCCTGGAAACATCTGAATTTCCCACCCCTTCATAATGTCCCTGAATCGCTGACAGATGTCAGTGTGATTTCTGGATGAGATTTTGAGATCACTTCCACAAAACCTATAAACATATACCCATTTTTTAATTCAATTTTTAGTTTTTCTTTGGTGCATTTAGGAGTAAAGATTCACCCCTACCTGTCTCGCAGAGGTCCCCTGTGAATCCACCAGCACAGCGACACCTGTTAAGGCCCACACAAGTTCCACCATTCTTACACCCCTTCCGACACTGAACTGGCTCTGAGGAAGGGCAGACAGACATCAGCAGACCTCTCTGGAATACACTCCCATGTCATAACAAGTTCAAAATGTAACACCTCCAGAAAGCAGGAAAAGTTTAAAAACTGATCATTAATGAGCCTACAGCCTACACTAGCTAGGGGGCGCTGTTACGTTTTCTTCATACCTATCTGGCATCGCGCTCCTGTCCACCCTTCACTGCAGGTGCACTTGTTGACATCCACACATCTGCCGCCGTTCAGGCAGGGCGGTGTGCAGACGGCTGCAGAGAGAAAGAGCGACGAAGCAGCATTTCAGAAAGGGTCCCCCTAACACTCTCCCCAGGGTACGAGGGCCAGTCTGTCCCCAGTTCAGCAGTTATCATTCTCATGTGCCAGCAGATGTTCCACAGGTGCTTCAACGACTCTGTCTGTCTCTGCTTAAGAGCTTGAGAGGAAAATGTGTCATCACAGGCATCATCTATATCAATGCAGCTCACCAATAACCTGAAGCTATGTCACTCAAAGCATGTAATTTAAAACACTCTTTTATGTTTTCCAGTGAGGTAAAAGGGTAAATGTACACATTTGTTGAGATTAAAAAATAAAATAACACTGTGTCTTTAAGAGAGACTGGTGAGGGATGCTGTGACTGTGGTGGTTTTTTTGGGTACTCACGACTGAAGCACTGTGGACCACTGTAGTCAGAAGGGCACTGGCAGGTGTTCGGGCCTACACAGCGCCCCCTGTTGACGCACGGCAGCTCACACACAGCTGGGTGAGACAGAGGGGGTGCAGTGGGGTGGGGTGGGGAGGACAAGTGTAGGACAAAAGGCCAGGTAAACATTATCCTTGGCCATGTGTCATGCAGGTGTGTGTGTCATCGTCATTAAAACGGACATGGGCTTTTTGTGCTGCTGTTGTTTGATGTTTGACAGTCACTGAGAAAATTTTATTTCCTTATCACCTACGATAAAGTGAGATGGTGAAGTGGATTTCTGAGGATCACTTGTCTCACAGGTGAGATGGACCACTGAGGTACATCACAGAGGATCACGTGTCTCACAGGTGAGATGGACCACTGAGGTAGATCACAGAGGATCACGTGTCTCACAAGTGAGATGGACCACTGAGGTAGATCACAGAGGATCACGTGTCTCACAGGTGAGATGGACCACTGAGGTAAATCACAGAGGATCACTTGTCTCACAGGTGAGATGGACCACTGAGGTAGATCACAGAGGATCACGTGTCTCACAGGTGAGATGGACCACTGAGGTAGATCACAGAGGATCACTTGTCTCACAGGTGAGATGGATCACAGAGGACTACCTGCCTGACAGGTGAGGTGGATCACCATGGATTACCTGTGTGGCAGCCCGACCCAGTCCATCCAGCGGGGCACATACACATGTTCCAGCGCATACAGGTCCCTCCGTGAGCACATGGCGGGGAGCACATGGCTAGAACATGCCAAAATATGACAGGCACAAAGATAAGACAAAGGCAATATGACATCGGGTGTCTATTAACGGGCTGAGAGTTTACCTGAGCAGCCCGCTCCTGGGTATCCAGCGGGGCAGTCACACGTGTTGGGGGCCACACACACCCCGTAATTCTGACACGGGGGGTCGCAAAAAGCTGGGGAAAAGAGAGGGAGAGAGAAAGTGAGACATCACAGAACGCTGGATGCATGAAGTGGTGTGGTGATTAATGATCCCTAAACCAAGGCTGCAGCTTCAAATCCCAGAAGTGTCCTTGCTGTTCTCTCCTTTATCAGCTCCTTCGCATAAACTCTTCTAAAAAATAATCTAAAGGTAACCTGGTATAATACCTACGAACCAGGCACCTGGCCAAAAGTTGCAGATTCTGCTCACAAACTTTGTACTTCAGAACATAAAATGTAACTCAATCAGGTCTTATCGGAGGCAGTGGAACTTGGCTTTGTGCCGCTGATGGCCTGATGATCTTGCGGGAAATGTATAAGGTATTCCTGCACCACAAATATCATGTGACTATACAGCCATTTTATCCTGCAAGACAGAACAGCTGAGCAGCTCATATGGGACAGAGAGCCCGGGTGTGAAAGAGGAACCCCTTGCACGCTCACGCTGGCACTTTGTGGGGTCGTCGGCACGGGCCTGGAAGCCCTCCCTGCAGCTGCAGTTGAAGGTGCCAGGGTGGTTGATGCAGAGCTGCTCGCAGCCGCCATTGGTGAAGTCACTGCACTCGTCTACATCTGGGGGAGGAGTGCACGGCAGGAGGGGGGTGACCCTTCAGGGCATGCAGAATCCTCCCCCCAGAAGCATCTCCACCACCCTCCAACACCAGGTGGAAGGACGTGACCCATGGACAAGAACATTTTAATAAGACTAAATACAATTGTAGGGGTTATTATTATTATTATTATTATTATTATTATTTCTCTCTTTTAACTGTAATAATATGAGCTGTATTTAAAAGAACTGACTGATCATTGACTGATCATCCACTGATCATTCTCCCAGGATCCTCTCTTTCCCCCCTTGCCCTTCCATTCTCTCACCCACACAGCTCCGCTGGTCCGCCCCGAGCATCCAGCCTGCATTGCAGCTGCAATGGACCTGCCCCTCTGTCCATACTGTACACCTGTGACCACAGCCTCCATTCCGTAGCTGGCAGGAAGTCACATCTTACAGGGATGCACAACATCACAGAACAGGAAAAATGACAGGCACAATTGGATTATTAATCAGGAGACAGGGTGATGATAAATAAAGAAAAAAATCAAAGAAGGAAAGTCAGAGATAAAGTAAGAAGAGTTTGAAGGGACATACTGATGCAAGTAATGTTGTCCTTGTCCAGCAGAAGAGGCTCAGGACAGAGGCAGATGTGTCCACCGATGGTGTTGGTGCAGCTGTGAGAGCAGCCGCCATTTTGAAGCTTGCACTCATCGATATCTGGGGCCGGAGCGCAGACACATAAAGGAGAGCATATAAAGACATGGCTCATTTACCGTAGAAAAATGAACGAAGAGATAAAATCACTACAAATGCATACAGCAGGAACACAATCACACCAGACACATACAGCAGGTATACACGCTCTACTGACGGAGCTAACACACACATCACGACAGACACACACAGCGAGTGCACAATTACTACAGACACATACAGCAGGTACACGATCACTATAGATACACACTGCAGGTGCATCATCACTACAGACACACATAAGTATTAAAGACGTTTCTCTACCGATGTCTGCTGTAATGTCAAGAACATCAAGATTATTCCAGGCCTCCCCTAGGAAGAATGTCCTCACAGCACCATCAGCCATGTGTTCAGCAGGCGGGTGAGAAAGCAGGAGGCCCTACTGTACATACCTACACATTTGAGGCCATCCATGTGCAGCTGGAAGCCTGAGTGGCAGAAGCACTGAAAGGAGCCTTCGGTGTTGGTGCAGACCTGCTCACACGGGCCTTTAGGTGATGCACACTCGTCCACATCTATCAGGAAGATCAGGGCAAAGGTATCACTGACAATACAGTAAAGGTGAGACTTCACATTCCAAGAGCAAGAGCCCCAACCCTACATTGTCCTTGGTTACTGACATCAAGCAACACTAAATACTGAATACATGATACCTGGAAACCCAACCACCTGTGACATTACATCACAGGTGGTCCAGAGAACACTTGAGAACTGGGAATGTATTAGTTGTCTGCAAAGCACAGGATACTAGAATACACTTCCTTTGCCCCCTCAATCTGTCTATCTGGGAAATATGTCTTTCATTCATCAGGCTGAAGTGTCCTCGACGGGATCCTCCTACCGGTGCAGTTGTGTCCATTCTCCTCCAGAAGGTAACCCAGCTGACAGTGGCAGTGATACGACCCAGGCTCATTCCTACAGCTATGCTGGCAGTACCCGTTCTTCATGGCACACTCGTCCACATCTGCAATGAGCATCGATAGATGCCCAACAGCAGGAGGTGACAGAGGTCGAACACGTCAGAGGGTGTGGAAACCATGAGGTTGGGTGTCTGCCACAATGACACTTCATCTGCTGCTGTGTAGCAGACTGAGGTTACAGGTTCAGAGAGGTCACGTCTAGGGGGGAGGGTCTGACCCAAACCCACATCTCACCCACCGAAACAGGAGTGGCCATCACCATTGAAGCCCTGAGAGCACTGGCAGAAGTAGGAACCGATGATGTTGCCGCAGTGGGCGTTGGTGTCACAGCGGTGCTGGCCAGATGCACACTCATTCTCATCTGGGGTAGAGAAGAGAAAGGTGGAGAGGAAGAGCAGAGCAGCGGGAAGTGATCTCTTGAAAAGTGATCCGTCACGCAAGATGGATGCAAAAACTAGAAATACTTCATGTTATTTTTTATGTTTGTCTATTTATATGTTTGTTTTTTATAGAATGGTGCTCATTGGTTAACAGAAAAAGAGCCATAATTAGCTTTATAGGCTAATTTACATCTGGCCAGTTTTTAAATAAAGGCAGCCAAAAATCTGAATAAAATACCTTATAATAAATGACACATACTAATAATGTACATAGATACTAATACCCAAAGCGATACAATGCAAACACACAAACAGATCAATAATGAGCATAGAATACAGTGGAATCAGATGGCTTTGTGTCCCATGACAAATGGATCACAACAATGAGATTTCCAAATTTGTTTAGCAAATGCTTTCATCCAGGGTGATATCTAAGTGAGGAAGACTTGGGGCCAGAGTTTGGAATGAGCCAGCATCCTTGGAGCAGCTGGGGTCAAAGGCCTTACTCAAGGGCCAAATAGTGATAATTACTCTGGCAGCCACAGGATTCAAACCCACAACCTACCGACCACAGGTACAGATACCAAACCTACTGACCCACAACCACCCCACTGAAAGCTTAATTCCTCACAACACTGACTGGCAATGAGGCTGGAACTAGTGTTGTAGTCAAGACCGCCTAAACCGAGACCAAGACATTGCCGAGACCGGAGGGTATCAAGACCAAGACACTGCCGAGACTTGAGGGTACCAAGACCAAGACCAAGACACACTAAGGCGAGACTAAGACCAAGATGGTCGAGACCAAGACCAAGACCAAGACCGAAAACAGACTAGGGCTAGAATCGACATCACATTACCCAGATCAACTGTAGAGAAAAAAGGCATTGCTGTAAAGTGTCATTACTCGTTAAATCAAATTCATGTTATCTTTTCAATTATATTGTCCGTATGTCCATATGTCTCTCATTTAAAATCTCCCAGATTTGTCATAGTTACGAGACCTGATAGAAAATAATATTCTCAGAAATCCTCTCCTATAACCATTATATCAGACCTCGTCAAGGGAAAGAGATGGGATGTACCAGAAAGATGTTCATATTAAGTCTCTTATACCAGAGACAGAGGCCTCGGGTAAGCTATGAATACAGCTATGTAATGATCCTTTGCTTTGAATTGAAGAGAATGAGCCTCCAGATTGACTTGCACCTCCAAGACCGTGCTTTCTAATCAATGTAAAATACCTAATTTATTTCAATTATAACTATGCTATAGACTTCGCGGACATTTTCGGACATTTTTTTGCCGATGTATGATACGATGTGTATGATGTGTGTGGACTGTAAAGCACTGGCAGTGTCCGTGATATGTATAAAATGTAACGTTTTTGAAATGGATGCATCTGACTGGTTGCATTTGAATTGAGGCGCGTAATAAATAATGATACTGTTCTGTGAGGATGTGCAGTTTTCTCTTTTTTTCCCCATCCCATCGAGACCGCTATGTCCGAGACCAAATAGAGTCGAGACCGAGACCAAAGACCGAGACCACAAAAAATTGGTCTCGAGACCGGTCTCGAGACCAAGACCGGTCTCGAGAACTACAACACTAGCTGGAACTCCTCTTACTGCACCCCACCCCATGGGACACAGGTCCCACTCTCACCCTCGCAGTGGGTGCCGTTGCCCCGGTAACCCTGCTGGCACACACAACGGAAGCTCCCCAGGGTGTTTTCACAGACCCCCCACCCAGCGCACACGTCTGGGGTTTCGCTGCACTCATCCACATCTGAAAGACGGAGAAAGAAAAAGGAGAGATGGAGAAAAGAAAGAGGGAGGGAGAGACGAGAACAGGAACGGGATGTAAGAAAGACAAAGGGTATGTTTTATATGAAGAATAAGGTGAAAAAGGAAGAAAAAGAGAAGGAAAAAAGAGAAAAAAAACATAAATGAAAAGAAGAATGGTAAGAATGACCCCACAGTACTCTTTGAAAAAGGGCTCACGGTACCTTGGCACATGTTGTAGCCTGGACACGGAGGACCTGGAATGGGACGGTATGGGAGAAGACAGGGGAGCAGAGAATGGACATGTGCAGGAAAAGAGAAAGTCAACAGGTTCTCCAGCAAGCAGCCAAACATGCACATGATCTCACTGTAAAAACGAGTAAGAAACTGGAAAACACAGATGGGGGGATGGAACGTGGAATCAGCCATGGACGCAGAAAATATACAAAGACAGACAGGGCAGGCAGACACATCAAACAGGGGGAGTCAGAGAGTCGCTGTCTGTCAGTCTGCCCGTCAGAGACACATAATGCCCCATAGAGGCGAAACACAGTAACAAAGCCAACACTGAAACTGAAAGGGCTTCAGAGTGTTCTGACTGTCCCTCTGTATGTGTAGCAGGTAGGAAAATGAGAGTGTTTCCTTCAAGCATAGCTGATATAAGATATTTTGTCATAGGATAAAACAGCCTAAGAGACCCAATTTCGGTTATAACTCAATTTTTAAGCTTTCAGTTAAAGTTAGCCCTTAGTTTAAGATACATCAGGTTTGCAATATTTTGACATTACGACGCTCCAATGATGACCATCGTTAAATAATTGTACATCAGCAAAACTTCAGTTTTTCCATGAGTGATCGGTTTGGGTAGCGAGTGATCGGTTTGGGTAGCAAGTGATCCGTTTGGGTAGAGAGTGATCCGTTTGGGTAGCGAGTGATCCGTTTGGGTAGCGAGTGATCCATTTGGATAGCGTGTGATTGGTTTGGATAGCGTGTGATCGCTCTGTACGGTATGATGGTTCACTCATATGTGTTGCTTGTTGAATCATGTCCTGTGTGTCTCTGCATTGAATTACATTAATGTTGAGTACATAGATACAGTAGTAGGGGAAGGTGAGCATTATGAATATCAGTTCATACAGTACTTTTTAAAGTTCAGCAATGCTATATACATCCACATGACTAACATGTGTGCTGTCGAGGAGTCGACTAGGCATATGAGCGGCCAGTCTGAGCTTCCGATGAATGACCAGGTATAAGTGTAAGCAGTACTGCACAGGAGTTACACAACAGCTACACAACATCATACACAACTATTAACAAAATAAGAACTTAATAAGACTATTTAATAACCAGAAGTACAAAATAAGAACATTCAGGAAACATAATTAGGCATCAGGTTGCTAGAAGAATTCATGGAACAGATGTGTCTCGCGGCATTGACTGGTGGGCAGACAGACGGGCAGCTAGACAGAGACAGACGGCCAGCTAGACAGAGACAGACGGGCAGCTAGACAGAGACAGACGGGCTCACCCACGCAGGCTGGCATCTCCAATCTGAAGCCCGCCCTGCACTGACACACGTAGCTGCCAGCAGTGTTGATACACATGTTGCCCAACTCACGTCGACAGTGTTCTTCAAAGCTGCACTCATCTACATCTGATTGTCCAGACAGACACAGGCCCGGTTATGCAGAAACAACACACAACAGAAACAGGAAGCAAAACTCCAACTAGTCCCCAGCGTGAGGAAACGGGGACAGAGGAAGCAGGTGTGGGGACAGACTCACCCACACAGTTTTTTGCATCCAGTGCCAGCACATAGCCGGCAGGGCAGGAGCAGGAAAAGGACCCTGGCAAGTTCCTGCACTTGGCCCCACCCCCACATGCCTGAAGCCCCGATACCGCAGATAGCTCACACTCGTCAATGTCTGTAACATGTGCACACATTTCATTAAGCCACTACATGGACTTTAACACCCAGTTTCAATTTCCTATGTAGCCACTACTGATCCACAGATTATTCACCAATGCAGATATGCATACGTGTGTCATCTGCTCACCCTCACACCCCTCCGGCCTCCACAGGTAACCATGGTGACAGGTGCACAGGAAGGAGCCGGCTGTGTTGGAGCAGTTGGCATGGGGCCCGCAGGGGCCTGGGTAGTCCCCCTGTGCACACTCATCCACATCTGGGGGGGGGGGGGGGATGGGGGTGGGCACAGAAAGAACATGCTGAGGAATGATAGGTTTGACAAGGGGGCAACAAGTGCACACTAACATGGGGTCGGCGAAAAGAAGCATTCCGACATGCCTGTACTTGTGGAAGCAGCAAATAAAGCATAAAGCATGTTAAAATCAGATTTACCATGGCACTCTGCTGCCCCCTGCTGCTTGAACCCAGTCGGGCAGGTACAGTTTTCACCCTGCAACACCAGGTGCCCCAGACAACCACAACCAGCGGCTCCCCTTCTGGGGCAAGGGGAGGTTGTAGCAATGTCTGGTGGCTTTGTGCTGGGGGTGGAAACCACTAGGGAGACTTCAGATTAGTACAAGAGAGAGACATAGATTTAGTAAACAGAAATCAATGTTTTAATGCAGTGTTTGCTATGGTTTACATCATACTGTATCATTAAACTTCATAACAAGACTTGACTCACTCACCTGTTGTAACTGCATCTTGTTCTTCTTCGCCTATGTTCTTGGTGGTGTTTTCAATCACTAGATTCTTCCAAAATCAAACAAAAATCCCAAAAAGTATTGTCTTGTTAAATATTGACAACCATGTACCGAAAGGCTGTAGCTGAACAAGGACGAAAGATGTTGGTACAATCTGCTGTCAGCCTCTCATCTAAAGAAAAACACCAAATGAGTCCAACTCTAATTTCATTAATAAGATCGTTATGGTAATATTAACACTAACCTGTGTCATTGTGAGCTCAGGCTCTCGGTTTTGCTGAATTTCATTGGACTGGGGAGTCGTCAGGGTCTCGGCGACGATCAGCACCACCAAGAAGGCCAGTGGCGTTAGAATAATCTGTGCCCTGGGCAATTTCATCTCCTGGTGAAACTAGATACAGTCAATGAAAATGGTTCCACGTCACAACCACATCAGGAATGTGAACGATATTTTCTTAGACCTTTTCCATTTAGCATTAAAGTAAGTAGATCAGGTACTGCATTTTCGTGCTCTGGGCCAAATTTCGTAGAGCAGTTACGGGACCGGCCTACCGTAATTAAGTTTAGTTTATTTAAATAGCATTGGCTTTTGCTGACACAAAGCATTACGGGAGTTTTATTAAAAGCTTTCGTTGCACTATAAAATCCTTTACAAGTTCAGTTAAGGTTTTAAAAGCCAAAAAATGCTTTACTTCATCGACTTCCTCACTGCAGTAATGTGATGAAAAATAGGCTATTATATGCACGATTTGTTGGAAAAGATAACTATGCTAAGATATTTCAGTGAACATGCAAAATCGAATGTGCAGTATCTAATGATGTGCTCCTCGATGCACGACAGCTACTTTTCTCCAAAATTCGCTGCCTCTGTAAATCATTTGGAATGGTGAAAACAACGTACAAAGATAGCAGTCATGCAAACAATGCAACACGCTGCGTTTGACAATCGATTACCTGAAAAGAAATGGGGATAAACTTGGCTACTTAAAACACTCAGATTACAGGCGTCCGGACTCACACAGACCCAAAAGCCTTGTTCAGTGATTCAACATCCTGTCTTTCAATAGTTTACTTCCCATTCTTAAATCCCCAAATGAGCTGCGAAGTGGAACCACCGGACCCCTATGGATATTCACTGCGGCGTTCACGCATCTCCACGCCTCAGATGCCTGTCCCCCTCCAAAAAAAAGCCTTCGCCGCGGGCGGAGTAGAGGAGATGAAAAGGGACAGACATCAAACAAGTCGTCTAGTTCTGATCTGGCGTCATTTAGATGTATGCATATAGCCTAATGCAACCGCGTGAGGGAGAGGAGACTGCCAGGAGACTTTCATTTACGTTTAAATGCATATATTTCACCTTAAGGCACGTGCATTATTTTCTAAGATAAGGTTCTTATAACTGTACAATGACCTTTGTTCGCGCAAATGATGAACACTAATTGTTAATTGCTGTTATTACATTCCTACAGTTTCGTAATGTTTACGAAATATAAAGATTTTCTATGATGTATATTGACTGACCACTAAGTCTATGTTTACGCCTATTTGCGGTTAAAAACGTGTCCTACAGTGCAATAGACGAGGTCACAATTCCAAATATCCAGCAATCCACCTTCAATACCGCATATCAACTGGGATCTTTTGTATTTTCTTGTGGCTGAAGCTTCGACTGCAGAAAAGCAGTGTCCTCTCCTCTGGTATTCTGTGGTAGCCATAGCGGAGCCAAAACGAAAGATTGAATGCTGTAATCAAAGCAGTTTAAGTGGCTGTATAAGATTATCATGAGAAGTAATTAAAAACATTTTAGAGTTTAAACTGTAAACAAATATAGGCCTACTTGGCTTTTCCCTCTGAAATTGTATATATTGCTAACAAAAGTGGTTTAATTTGTATTCTATTTTCTATTTACTGATTATTCCACTTTTTTCCTTCTGTGACATATCTAAAGAAAATCATTGATTGAAGACTATTTAAATAGCGTTTTAACAATAATAAGCCTAAATGATTAAATTATTAATTTATTCTATATTTTGAACACTTAAAATATGTATATGATTTGGTATTTTATTAAGATAACGAACATGAATAGTGTTCTCAAAAATCAAGAAAAACACTTTTACTAAGAAGTTAGATATGTATAAAATATTCACTAAAAGCTTTATTAAACAAATGTTGAATCTGTAATTCCCGAATCGGACTGAAGCTCTGCAGCTATACACGATTGTCCTCCGTACTTAAGTCAGCTGCTCCAAGGTTTTGCGTTGTATTTCAAACACAGACACCGTTTTTAAAGGCGAGACACCAGACAAACAGGGAACCTAAAGGCATCTGAAGTTCTGAACTCCTGCGTAGAGGCTGAATTAACTAGGCTTTGGCTGCATTAAGAAGGCGCTGTGTATTCAGGAGGGTGATCTGGTCATCTATTTGCTGGGATAATAATGAAACACTTTCACTAGTGCCACTCGATCAGTGTCCTAACGACAAAGATGTAACCTAACAACGAAAACTCTAGCCATAATAACAGAAGTTCGTTAATATTTTTTTTTCTTTAAATATAATGTTTCAAGCCATTCGTTTATATGATACATTGGGGTATTATATACACGGATATAAACTTCTCTATCTCTAGATCTCTGGGTTTCCAAGCAACAAAGACTCACACTACAAGGCGAGTAAATCCGAGATTCAGCAAATCTAAAAGTTTAACAATAATCAGAGATAAACGTTTTGCTTTACGCGTGTTAGTAAATGGCAGTTTATTACCCTGTTTTATATTTCCCTAGTTCAATTGTCGTTTCTTTGGATAAACCAGTACGCGACCTTAACTGCCGAGAAGTTTTGTCACAGTAAAAATTCCCTCCCACCATTTTATTTTGGAATGAGCAGCAGATGGACCAGACAGAAAAGTAATGTCGGGTCCTAAAGGTACCGGGGAAAATGACGTAGACAGCACCGCGGAGGGGGAGGCTGAAATGTCCGCGACCCCGGAGCATGACGACGTCCCTACGCGGACATCTGGCGCAGTCCCCGCGCAGACAAAGCGTCGCGACCGGTATTTAACGTTTGGGCCGCAGGAGGGTCTGACCGCCAGCGCCAATTGCAGTGTGGGAAAGGTTTGTGGGCTGAAGGAGCTATACTACATTAATATCTGCTTGGAATACGTATTCCATGTCTCTGCCGTAACTCATATTCTCTCCCTGCATTCTCTTTCTTATCTTGATTTCACAGACGGAACATTATGATGTCAGACCCTGTGTGAGCCATACCGTACAGGACATACATATTACCTATGACGACCCAGTGCATCACGTGACCAGCAGCAAGGAAACGGTTGGTTTCATCAGCGGGTGCAGGACAGAGGTTAGTTACAGGTTGTAAGTCCATGCATGCCTGATTTCTGAGGAGTACCCAGATCTGATGACAGCAGATACTGATAACTTTAGGATATAGATATTTAGAATTAAGTGACACACCTCAGCAGACAACAACAGAATGTGTCCTCTGCATTTAACCCATATCATATGTGACAGCTAATCTTGCTCGGGGTAACTCAGTGGTGTCTTGCTGGTCAGGGAATCGAACCTGCAGTCTTTCAATTACAAGTGTGCTTCCCTAACCATTAAGCCACCACTGCCCCTATTCAAGTTACACGTTGTGATGAGAGATGTATTGATTGCGTGCACATTATGCAGTTTGTCCAAGTTTGACAGTGTCCCCCTCTGCAGGAGCTGAAGAGGATGATGAGTGTATTGTATTTAAGTGTCTTACATTACGACATACCTGTTGTCTGTTCCACTAGGAATATGCAGCTTTGCTAGCAAGGAACAGGGATCTGGAAGCCCTCCAGCAGGAGGCTGTAGAATGCAGGAAGAGGAAGCCTACTGTCAGGCAGCAGGCGGAGGAAGAGGCGTTCAGACGCTACATGAAGATCGTCTGCAATGAGCCACTTTGCCCAGAGGTGGCACACACATTTCGATATGTACACACACACACACAGGTTTATTATTATATCTTTATGGGGACTCTCCATTCATTTCTATGGGGAAAACCCTAATCCCAACATGACGACCTTAACCCTTACCCAGCCCTAACCTTAACCATGAGTAACCAAACAAAATACAAGACTTTTGGCATCTTAGTTTTTTGACTGCATTCACAGATCTTTGTGGGGACCTCAAAAAAACAAGTTTTTATTACATTGTGGGGGCCGTTTGGTTCCACACACACACAAGCACATTTTCATGAATACTATAGAACACTGGTTCTTTACATTGGGTTTTGTACAATTCAAAGGAACCTATTCACAATTTCAGGTACATGTTTAAAGATTTATGTATCCTTTTATTTGTACTATTCAGACCATTTTCCTCTGCTGATGCTGCCCAAGAGAGGACCATATGCATATTTTTTTCTAGCTCATTTTCAAACTTCATATGAGGATACCTTCCCCCTACAGACAGTCCCTCCAGGATGGGTCACTGGCAGCCCACCCCTGACCCCACCGAACACAAGAAAGAACAAGAAAGTGAAGGATGGAAATGCAAAGGAAAGTGTCACAATGCTGCCTTCCTACCTACAGTTTAACCTGCATTCATCTCAATTGCATATGTCTCCAGTCCTCTTAGCTTTTGCCACTCTGATAAATGACTGTTTGAAAACTACCCCATAAGTTAGTTGTGTGATCTGATGATGTTCATAAAGTTGTAGGAGGAACATTAGGGTCTTGCCTCACCACTTTACAGATTTTGCCTCCTGCTAGTTCTAACCTCCATTTTCCTGTCTGCGATGTTCTAACAGTGGAATAACCTCATTTCAACAGACCCCACCTGAAGCTACTGGTTCCTTAGCAACCAGTGGAGGAACTAAAAGAATTTAGACTCAGAAAGACCACGTCATTCCAGATTTCCATTCCATGCTACTGCAGCAAGTGTTACTTTGAGGCAAGTGGACATGGTAATCATTAACATGCTAATTTGATTTTCTCCTCTGCAGAAGAACAGCAGGATCCCTGGACTTAGGCCTCCACTTGGTCGTGCCCACATGTGGCAAAGCCAAGGGTTCCCTAATGAGCTGGGGGCTGAATCTGAGAGTCAAACAAGTATGAAGGTGTGGGAACTCACAAAACTTCAAAATACTCAGTCTCTGAGGGTCAGTGACAGCAGTGAGATCCTGGTCTACAAAGAGGTGAAGAAGATGAACATGGGCTTACCAGCAGGACTGAGAAAAATCCCTCTAAGAGCAGCCACACCTACCTCAACCTTGGTGGAGACCTCCACTGTCTCCTCTGTGAGTGGGGTGGAGGAGCAATGGATGGTCAACAGTCAGGACACCTCCCTTTCTCCCCAGCACCCCAAGCTTACCGCAGTCCCACTTTCCAGGAAAGAAACACCTCCAGGAACGCCCCACAAGAAGCCCACAACTCCCCAGTCCTGCATTCCTTCCCCCAAGCTCCCAGAATTCATCAAACAATTTGTGGACCATGACTGGTGTAAAGAACTGTTCCCAGAGCTTAAAGTGAGTCCTGTTTTCCCCCAAAATGCTCAGTTTCAAGTTTAGGAGTGAATGTTCCTTCATTATCTACAGTCTAAGTGTATGTTTGCTGAGTTACAGTGTATATGTGGAGTATAACAGCTTGACAGTTGGCTGGGGTTTCCAACCAGACTCGGCACACCCTCAGGCCCAAAGACTTTGCCCAGCTACTGCTGAAGCACATGGAGTGTGTTGAGGCAGAGACCAAGATGCAGATGCTAAAAGCGCTGTGGGGGCTACACCAGCAGGGTGCACTAGAGATCAGTGAGGAGATCTGCACCGGCCTCATTGACGTGTTGAAGTCGTCTACCTCGTCAGCAACAGTGGGTCCTCAAGGGTCGCCTTCCATGCCCTGTATTACATGACAACTCACATCATGCTCCATTTCACTGAAAACTTCATAGGTCACATTGGACCCTAGGTCATGTGATACCTGAGGAAACTAACATTTTTTTAAATAGAAAAAATAGCCTTTGTGTATATAGCCTTTTGTGCCATATGGGATCTGAAATGATTTTTGTAAAACACTAGTCCTACTCATGCTAGCAATGTCTCATGTGTGTTTGTGTCTTCAGGCTAGTGAGAAGCATTTTCTCACCCAATTATTGAGCACACTAGTATCCCTGGATTCTGCCAGTCAGAAGCTGGTGGTGGAGCTGCTGGCCTTTCTGGTCCATGGAGAGCTACAGTGAGTCCCAGTCAGGTGGAGGCATATGGGTCTTGTCCAAAGGCAAAGAACATTCGGTTGTGGTTTAGAAGTTTCAAATTTCACTTGTGATGGGCATCCATTGGTCTGTATCAGGCATCATGTACCTGCAACATGTACCTGTTATGAGAGTCACAGATAGATGCTGCCGTTGTAGATGCCAGTACTTATGCATTTGTTGACCATGACAGGGACACTGCCCAGTATTTGCTGGAAGCGATGGGTGTGAAAGAAGTAGACCTCTGGCTGCGCCCTGAGGTAGAGTTCTGGGACACTGGATTGGCTGGGAATCTGGAGCCCCAAGAGGTGCTGAGGAAGAAAGCCGCTGATTGGTTGGAACTCTGGACCTATCAGTACAAGGTGAACAGGGTGACCCATGGCATTAGAGTGAAACAGAAGTCCAGAGAATCAGACTATACTTTCAGGTCTTTAGGATGAGTGAATTCAGTGGTATATAAGGAAGAAAAGCCACATGGGAACATTGTTTAAATATGAACTGAAATAGAAGTTATTTTTGGTTTGCAGGCTTCATGAAGTCAACAGGGTAATTGTCAGTTGATTAATATGTAATCTTGTGTAGGAGAAATCCTGAGCTAACAAGAAAAGTTAGGATAAATTTTTCTAGATAAAAAAGAAGGCATTGATTGAGAGTACAGAGGCCAAAGGTCAAACGCTGACTCCCGCCTCTTGGGCCTTCGTTGGGTTGCCAGGTCAGAAACAGAACCTCGTTCCCCCAGAACCTGAGAGTGAAGGACCTGTTCACCCCTGTCGATGTGCTCAACTATTTCTGCTCTCAGAGAAGGGGAAGGCAGAAGCCCCAGCCATCATCCTGTCCGCCTGTCCAAACAGAGACCAAACTTCTCTCATCCCCAAATTACAGGTGTGTCAGCTGAGCAGGTATGTCAGCTATGCAGGTGACCCTGGGGGATTTAGGTGTACTGTGTCTAAGGCTGTATTTGACCCCAGGTTGCAGCCGGTTTACTGCCTAGGGGAAAGGCTTACCTCAGAACAGAAGCCTCACACTAAGGGTAAGTGTCTATCCTCTTATATAAGATGGCATCTGGCTTGACTGTGTGTTATAACTATGACAGAAGCATGACTTTGGAACCTACAGTGGCTGGGAATATTATCCTGTCAATCACTGATATATTTAAGCCATGTATCATTGGTTTGGTGATGCTTGGCAATGACACCCATCAGAGACGTCAAACCCATCATTAAAATATCTTGCCCTTGTAGGGTGGTGTGTGGCTCAGATAACTGGGGTGCTATACCTGTGGTGAAACATCATGGGTTTAAATCCCAGGGGCCTCCCTTACCTAAAAGCATGCTAACACCTACATATACAAGTGTATCCATCTCAGTAGTGCAGAGCAGGCTAATTGCACAGCCACTTCCGTACGTTCAAACCACGTTAGTGCAGATGCTGTCCAAACAATGCCCTCTTTTCACGGGACAGGTGTGATCCTGCCCCCGCTGCTGAGCCGCCACCCCCCCACCAGCTTCCCTCCCTTCATCTCCCTGCCCCTGCCCCACGTCAGCACAGGCCACTTCCCCTTTGCCTTCTCCTACTCCGAAGACTGGCGACCCCTAGTGGGGACACGGCAGCACTACTTCTTCCTGGAGCGCTCTTTTGTGGACAATTACAGATGACTGTGCTCAGGGGTATGGGAGACACCCCCCACTCGGACCGTCGGGTGCTCCGCTAAACAGCAGCGAAACTAAAGAATCCATATCTGGGTTAAACCTGCTGCCACCAGCATTCTGTTTTATTTACCAAAAATCTGTGTAGCACAAAATGGTGGTAAGTGTTTTTTTAATTGCAGTTGTCTGTGTTAGAGAATATGCACACTGCTATATGGTCATATATACACTACCAGTCAAAAGTTTTCGCATGCACATTTCGCATGTACATTTACTAAAAATACACAAATATCTTTGATTTTTTTATTGACCCCATGGGAAAATTCTCTTTACACCTCCCCCATCTTGCTCTCTGTAGGTGAGAGCAAGCTAGCCACGAAGGGCAGCCACCAATAGCAGCGCCCAGGGAGCTGGGGGTTAAGAGCACTGGCCTAGGACCGGCAGATGTGCTGAGGCTGGGCTTGGAACTGGCCAAGGACCTACAGATGTGCTGAGGCTGGGCTTGGAGTGGTCTTCTGATCACAGGCACAGAGGCTTAGCCCTCTGAGCCATACACTGCCCCCCTCATCAGAGTAACGTCCTCTAGCAGTTATAACAGCACAGAAAGGCATTCTTTCTACAAGGGACATTAAACACTGCTGTTTCTTGGGATGAAACGGTTAACTAGAGCATTTAAAGGTCAATCTAGAATTTGACTATGCCATCACCGCACAACCAGTTAATAGGATGTTAGACATGCACTGTTACATACTCTTTCCAAGGCTTAACAAGAAAAAAAAATTGCAGTGAAAAAGTGGTAAAACCTTGTGCTGTGCAAAAACTTTTGACTGGTAGTGTATGTCCACACGTAGGTCCCTGTTAATTACATCATTTTTACTGATCAAAACAGATCAGAATAAAAAATATATCATTCTTTTTTTTTATCATTTACAAATAGCATGGGAATAAATTCATTTAAGAAGTAAAAACTCTGAAAATCCTTTAAATTGTAAAGAAAAATAATAAGGCTGTATATGATCATAGCTGCCCTTTCATAAATATTGCCAACAAGGGGACACGTAAGTCCAATAAAGCAATTTAGATAGATGGACAGTAGCAGTGATTGATTGGACAGTAGCAGTGATTGATTGGACAGTAGCAGTGATTGATTGGACAGTAGCAGTGGTGACAAAGACACAGTGGATTACAAAGCCTAAAATGGGCTACAATGACAAGGTGTGGGTCTCCATTACAGTACAGTTTGCTTCAGACAGATCGTTTGAAGTTGACTGGACGTGTACTGGCCTGGTGGAGCAATTTTGTCATGCTATACTCCCAGCTGGTCCTTCAGCATCTACTTCGTTCCTTGGGACCCCTTGGATGGTAATGTCACTAAATAAGCCCACACACTTGGGGGGTAATTCATGCTTATTGGTATTTATTTATTCCCAATGTTAATTCAAATGCTACATAACAGTTCTGGGCAAAATTGTCCCAGGAAATAGGTTCTGTAGTAAGATCTAGAGCAACTGTGGACAAAGAGCAGCTTTTCCTAGTTTGTTACTCCGGCCTACGGCGGTATCGGGGCCTAGGCCTCTTCTTCCAGGAGACTGTTGTAGTTTAGAAGGTCCGAGGTGAGAAGCAGGTTCGATCGTTCGCTCTCGACCAGCACCATCTCCAGCTCAGCCTGGAAGGCCTCCCGCCAATCCAAGTCCTCTTCAAGGGGCCAATCCAGCAGCTGAGCGCTGGAGGGTAAAGGCGGCAGACCAGGCTTGTACTCCTCCAGCGCATTTGGATGGAGCAGCAGCCGGAGAGAGGAGATGGAGGCGGCCACCCGTACCACAGCCAGTACCCCGGTCCGTGAGAGCGGGTTAAGGGCAAGCCCTAAGATGCACAGGGTCCGGCAGCAGCGCAGCGGAGGAAACAGCGCCCCCAACAGGCTGTCTGATAGACCGCAGCCACATAGAGACAAGTGTGTCAGCGAACCAGAGGCTTGAGACAACAGGCGGCACAGTGAGGGCAAAGTGGCCTCCTCCAGCCTGTTCTCACTCAGGTCCAGTCGTCGCAAGGAGGTGGCATGGATGCTACAGGACAGGTAGGAGAGGTCAGCCGGAATCAGACTCAGGTAGGGGAGTTCCAACACCTCCAAAGGCTGCGAGAGAGAGCTGAAGGCATAGGAACAAGGGCTCAAGTAAGCAACTGAGCAACTTCAAAAAATGACTTACCCTCATTGAGTTAAAACCACCTTTATAGTAATGATGATGGTCAAAAAGCATTGCCACAATTAACAAGGAACCTAGGAAAATTAAAAATAATGGTCTGATTTGATTGTATCCATCCATCCATTATCCGCCGCTTATACAGGGTTGGGTTGCGGGGGCAGCAGTTGAAGCAGTGATGCCCAGACCTCCATCTCCCCAGCCGCCTCCTCCAGCTCCACCGGGGGAATACCAAGGCGTTCCTTGGCCAGCCGAGAGATACAATCTCTCCAGCATGTCTGGGGTCTGCCCTGGGGCTTCCTCCCAGTTGGACATGCCTCAAACACCTCCGCAGGGAGGCATCCAGAGGCCCTTTCAAATTAGTTTCCCCAACCAACTGAACTGGCTCCATTCAATTCAGTGGAGCAGCGGCTCTACTCTGAAACCCTCCTGAATGTCTGAGCTCCTCCACCCTATCGCTAAGGCTGAGCCCAGACACCCTGCAAAGGAAACTCATGTCTGGCGTTTGTATCCACAATCCCATTCTTTTGTCACTACGCAGGGCTTATGACCATAGATGAGGATAGGAACGTAGATCGACTGGCAAATCGATAGCTTCGCCTTCCAGCTCAGCTCTCTCTTTACCACTACAGAACGGTAGTGTCTGCATTACTGTTTCAAATTACAGTACTGTACAAATTAAATGACCGACCTGAATTCAGATATGCAATTCAAATACGCTATAATACAGTACTGTCATGTTTTCTGTGCACGCAGCATTAGCCTCAGGTAGCTAGACAGAAGCAGACGGGTTACTTTGAAGGGCTACAGTATCAAAGTATAGTAACAAAAAAGAATTACTGTAGTTTAATTGTTCCATATGCTGTCATGCATAAAACAAAATTAACACTGTAAGCGGACTACTTGATTACTATAAGCAAATTATTTAAACAGTGTTTATACAGGAATGATTCTGTCCCAAGCTTTTTGATCCATATAAGCAGTTGATCACTATAACCATGATCACTATAAGTGGTTTCCACTGTCCATTTTATCAGCATTATGGATGTGCCAAACAGACCTTTGCAGGGAATTTCCTTATTACAATCAATTTTAAACATCCTTTAATGCTATCTAAACAGGAAAGCTTCTACTAAAGCAGGATTAAAGCAGTGCTTCATTTGTGCTGAGGCTTGTCGGAGCTCAGTTCTGGGACCTCTGACTCTGATTAGTCTGCACTCCACTACCTCAAACGCTACACCCAATATAATTAAACTTAAATACAAACTGAACTAAAGAAATGTATATTTATAAAACTGGTTGTGTGTATGATTACATACATCTGCCTGAATTAGTATACTTCACTTCTTTGATTTGAAAGGGAAATTCAGCACCGCCCATGAGGAAAAATCCACTTTGTGGCCACTAAAATAGATATTACCTTCTGGACCATTTAACTCATCTATCAGGGTCTTACAGTTTGATGCAACTAAGAGGTGTCGATGTAAAATTTGTGCGTGTGATGTCATTCAAAGTCAGTGAGCTCCGGTTCCTCATATAATGGTGGTCGCAGTAGGTCTCTGTGCTCTTTACAAGCTCTGGTACCTCAGACTTTACATATTAAACACACTTAAAAAAGGAAAACTAAATGAAAACATTTACATAAACTGAAACGGTAAGATAAGCTCCGGACCCCCCGTGACCCTAAATAGGACAATGGATGGATGGATGACACAGGATATGAAAATAGAATAAAAACAACTAAACGATAACCATAAATATTGATTCCAAAACTAACAAAAAGGAACGTCAAAGACTTTCCATTAGTGCTTTAGCTACTATCTAGCTAAAGTAATGATTTATCATTAATTACTATTAATTCTATATTATATTAATTACTGTATATGGAGCATAATAAAACCACAATAACATTGGTCTTAGGTTTATTTTGGTGGCTGCAATAATCTGAAGGTCCTCCATACCTGAGCAGCAATCGCAGGTGTCCTGACAATCGGAGAGCCGTGAGGCTGATCTGCCTCAGCTTCACCAGCGCCCCCAAGCCTGCCGCCATGTCTCTCAGTGCCTTCTCTTGGCCGGGTGCATCCCTGCGCACATCCAGGTTGCAGTAGTGCAGTCGGAGGGAACTCAGGTAAGGGAAGCGGGCCAGTGTTGGCAGCAGGAGGGCCAGGCCAGACACGCCTAGGCTGCTGTAGTGGATATCCAGACCTTGCAAGCTGTGGGGAGGGAGCAGAGACAGCAGGGCTACGATGGTAGCGGCGGGGAGCTCCTCCACGCGGAGGTGCTGGCAGTGTAGCTGCAGGGGCCCCTTAGTAGCCAGCGCCGTGTGGACGCGCTCCCAGGAACGCGCGTTTACGAACAGGTCAGCTCGCACCTGCACCACAATCTCAGTCTCCTGCTGCTGCTCCGTCTCCCGGGACTCCTTTACCCTATCCCGTGTCATTTCCATGATCCTCCTCACCCCCCTCACCTCTGCCTGGCGCTCCACAGGTGGCTGACCCCCCCTATCTTGGCTACTTTTCTGCACACCATTCTCTGTTCTCGCCCCCTGCCCTTCTGTCTCCTGGAGCCGCTTTCTCTGCTGCACCTTCTTGACTTGGCCCCTGGCCGCGATCCTTGCCTGAAGCACCATGGAGCAGAGCGCTACAGTGAGAGACCAGCCACCCATGGAGTCCACCAGGCCTCCGTCTTCACACTGAAGCCCGCAGAGATCCAGCACCTGAAGAGCACACCTGGTGCAGGGAGAGGGGACAAAAAAGAGAAACATTTCAGACCATCAGTAATCTTATATTTTAGATTACCTATGTACACCACACGGGGGGCGTAGTTAGAAATTCTGGGCCCCCTGACAAAATGTCATCCTAAGACCCTGTCCAATTTTATGTATATTTCGTATTTTACATCTCACACACCATGTCATAGTTATGGGCTGGCGTGTTAAGCTGGAGATGTGTATCACTATATATTACTTCTTCACCTCTGTCATTAAAAAGAAAGATAATTAAATTTATAGCAATTTAACAATTGAAATTTGAAAACTACTATATGTATGGGCGACTGGACCATAAAAGCACGGTGTCAACTTCTATAAATTGCAGATCAGCCGGTTCCCTTACCGCTTGTCCCCCAGCCCCCTGACCACCGCCAGCAGCAGCGCTTGGACACAAAGACGGTTTGGCGGCGTGTGTCCGGCTCTCCTGCGCCCGCCTACACGAAGGCACCTCTCGGGCCAGCGCTGCACCAGCTCGCCAATGGCCAGCGGTCGGCAGTGCACGAAGGCGGCCTCCAGGAGCGCCCTGTACAGCTCCCTAGGGACGCAGGCGAGCCAGCAGGGTGACGAGCCGTGATCGCTGACCACGGAACGGGCGCACAAGTTGATCAGCGACAGTACCATGGCACTCGGACACGGACTGGCACTCCAGAAGCTTACTTTACGGCTTTTGACAGCAACCCGAAACGCTGGAGCTGCTTCAACCACTAAAACTAAAAAAAGAAATTCATAAGCCACCCAGCACAAATCGAGCCCTGAAATCAGACGTTGACACTGGCGCCCAGTGGATAATATTCCACATCTTATAACACATGCAGGACATGGGATGATACACGACCAGCCGACTCAGCTAACAAGAGCGTCTGTCTTACATATCGACCCTTCATACAGCCAACACAACCATTTCCCAATGAGTTTATAAACATGTTTACTTCCCGCTGCTGACGCCGGCGTTTATTGATGACGTATAAAACCCGCGCGACATGTAGGCAGCGTTAGTAGTGCTTGTCAAGCGTACCGAATTTTCCGTTTGTTATTGCAGCTGGATCCCTAGCATGTACTTCATGCCATTTAGTTGTCTAAAGTGGGTTATATGGCTAAAACACACAGATACCACACATTAAAAGTTCCTGCTCTTTACAAGTTTACAGATAGTAGTGGCATGAAATATGTAACCTTCCTGAGTACTGGAAACATGATTTCAATTAAGCTAGCCTAAATAAAAATGGATGTTCAGGAATTGTTTTAATCTCTATTGCTACACGATTGTTATATGTACAACAGTCAGTGTACAAGTGTCTTGTAACTCCATTTTCCTGTCATAATGTCCCAGCTCTGCAGTAGCGTAATTTCCTGCTATGGTAGATGTTTTACAGTAGAGGGCGCTGGTATGCCTTACATTTTAGTAAGTAAACAATGTTTTTGATGATGAGCCATGGCAACCATAAAACCTTTGAATCTCTCCGCACCCTGACAGCATCTGGTTTGCTAGACTGGTGTCAGCAGTGGGATAGGTCGCTTGGCAACTCTGCAGATGTGAAGTAAGATTAGTAGTGTCCTTTCTTACGGCAGTTGTTCAAACTGATGGAAGATTGATATCATATCGCTAGATAGCTCTGTACAAGCGAGAACTGCATACAACTTTCCAGGCCATTTTCGGCCACAGGTGCCCTAATTATAAAGTCCCAGATTTGTATTATGACAGAAGCAAATCTTCAAATATCACTCCATCCCAACATTTTGTATCACGATCTACTGATTTTCTAACAAGTAATAAATATCGATTAAATGCAGATTCCAGGAAAACATTTGCACTACCCTGGGTTTATATTTTATTTTTAATACGTATCAAATCTAATGTCCGTATCTTCAGACTTGCTGACAGCATGTGCACTGTTGTGATGGTTTAGATATCAAGCTAACAGAAATCACGGAAAGCCAAAGCATTTTGCTCAAGTCAATATTTCTGTATTAATGTAACGAAACGCACCCCGAGCAGCCCAGAGAGCGGCACTCTTATCGTCTCCAAAACAAACGACACAGATACTATGTGGTCAAAATACAGGAAACTTTATTCACAGAAAAGTTCTCACAGCGAAACGAAACTTAACGCATGACGAGAAGCGCACTTCATGGGACCCGCAACGAGCACGTCAGCGGCTGGAAGGAGAGAAGCGCGTTTTCGCCGTAAACAATTATGCGAGCGACCGCCGCCGCCTTCGGCACGGTTGCTGCTTGTTTGCGGTAATCGTCCACAAGAACAGGGTGTTACCAAAACGGTGAGTCCGAAAGTGAAAATGCTAGGGAGCACACACACACACACACTGAATACTGCTCAGTACGGGGTGGAAAAAAAACACACACGAGAAACGCCAACGCGAGGCGTCGTGTAGCCCAAACAGGGCGCCATCCCACCAGTGATCCTAGCCTGGGCTGTTGCTGCTGAGCCCCGCTTAGGGGGACTCCGACACACGGGGACACCAGCTCTCATTGGCTTCAGCAGCAGGGCTGTATAGCTGCACAATATCTGCATCTCCTGTAAACTTAAAATCCTTGGAATAATAAAAATAGGAGGCAAGAAATTTAATAAAATAAAAAACAATAAAAGGATCTCCAAGCTGGACACAGCAAATGCTGTGAATCCCCCATAGGGGAGATGCCCCCCTCTGCGACACAGGCCAGAGACTGAAGGGTGGTCTTCCCTTGTCCCCACTGTTGCATCTCCACCTCCAGTTGCTGATGCTGGTGCACCTGATTGACTTGTGTGGAGGCGGCGAGGCAGAGGCCCACATCGGCCCCACTGAAACCGCAGTCCGCCGTCTTTCATCCATTTCACAAATCTCACTCCATCCAGCAACAGACATCTGATGAGTCATAACTTAAAGTCCATCCAGGGTCTGGGGCTAAGCCTGAAGCTTGATAGAGGGACCTGAACAGTCTGGAATATTCTGCCGCTGCTCTAAGTTCACCACTGGGAATGGGTGGGGGCTTATATTAAGGCACCCCAAAACCCCAGCATCATAGCACTGGGTGCTTTCTGCCATCCTGACAGCAGCCAAAAGGAGCGAAGAGGAGGACAGTGGATTCTAACACAAGTCCAACGCTGGAGGATGAAGAGGAGGAGTAGGATGATGTGGCTTCGGGGGAACAGGCAGTGCAGCAAGAGTCTGAATAGCGTCAGAGTCCGAGAGAGAAACAAAAATGAAGGACAGAGACAACAAAGAGGAAGAGAAGGAGGGATGGGGGGAGGGGAAGAGAGACAGAGAGAGAGTGCAAATGTTTGTCCCTGAGAAGACAGATCAGACACAGAGGGCCCTGGGGATCCTGGGGGGGAGGGAGAGAGAGAGTATGGTGTGAGTATGGTGAGAGAGAGAGTATGGTGTGATTTACAGGCTTCACTTCAAGATTGCACTTCCTTGCATCACTACAGGCAGACCTACTGGTTTTATACATCAGAAAATTCAGCATTTCAACTGCTACAAACTGCAGATCCCATCAATGCTCATCTACACATTTAGCACCCCCATACCTGTCCTCAGTAAACCCATCCAGCTCTTCCTCATCAATATCCAGCTCCATGTCCAGTTCGTTGTCCAGAGAGCCACGGCCATAACCACTCAGGACACTGTGGGGGGAGAGAGACGGGAGGATATGATAACGAGGCTGAAACATCCCAATGCACCTCATGCTACCTCAGCCGCTAAAATCTGGCAATCTTGGCCATCTCTGTGTTCCAAATGGGAGGCTGATTTAAATATAACCAATGCTGTCTGTGTAGAGGCAGCTGTTCTCGCAACATCACACATTGTGTCACTCCATTTGTGCGACATCTGTTAAATGAATGAAATACATTCTGAAAACAGGTCCACCCCAACCTATCCCACACACACACACAAAGCCGCTAAGCAGACAGACATCACGATTCAGGATGAGCCAACCTGACAGAGCGGCAGGTGAAAAAGACGATCCTCTTCAGCTTCTTGTTGTAGAAGAAGTAGTTGAAGGACCAGAGACTGCCTTCCTCTCCAAAGGGGTCCGAATCCAGGTCTGGGTTGTAGCTGCAGAGAAAGTCAAACCCATCAGCCAACCACCTGCCCAGCGCAGGGCTACTAACCTGTGCAGAAGAGACTAGTCAAACAACAAATGACCAAAAATAGCAAGCCCAGCAACATATGACAGAAGGGTGGTGAACAGCTCAGCGGGCTAGCATTCAGCGCCTATGATCAGATATTTATCGCCCATGGCTGATGGAAAGATTCACCTTTGGGGCCTTGAGCTAGGCACATAACCTCCAATAGCTATGGGAAGGATGACCCTACGTTCTCATTTATATTGCTTTGTATTAAGTCACCTGCTAAATGATGTCCTTAAACCATGATGAAAAAAGGCTGTGTTAATAGTCTATATTTCTTAAGTAGTCTATGCACTTTATTATTGTAATACTGATATTCCACACACCTGTATATGTCACAACTCTGAAGGTTGATCTCCTGGTCGATAGCACTCCATAGCTGTGGACCCAGAGAGTTAAATTCTTCCCCCACGGCTGAGATCAAACTGCCATTCACCGCGTTGGTCACCTGGGGGAGCACACAGCACCAGGGCACATTCGAGGGGTTTTCACAGCATAGGGAAGTATCAGGCAGGTATTAAGACAAAATAAAAAGCAGAAGGCGGCCACTCTGATTCCATTTCTCTGGAATGCAGATGCAGATCTGTGTCGTGCTGTGAGATGGGTGTGTTATTTGAGGAAGTACGAAAGTCAGTCATATTGTTTCATGGGAACTCCCATTAGATGCAACCCCAGAGAATTTCTTAGTAGCGACACTGGAACGGGTCCTGGCTCTGATACGTGAGACCAGTGCCGAGCATTCATCCTGTAGTGTCGACTGTCTCAATCTGCACTTCCCCACTTCTGAAATTCCACAGGCTTTTCACAATCACGTACCGCACTTTCTCAACCGATGGGTCACAACTCAAAAGCGGATCACAGAGTGAGTGGTCAAAATTATTTTGAATAAAATCCAAATTCTCCTAATGTTGGACTTGCTTTGGTTTTTAACAGTGTACAAAAGCATTGTGCTACTGTCACTGCACTATGTTCCACTTACTATTAACACATTATTCTTGGCTGAGAATCTATAATCATGCATTTACAAGCCTCCTTGTGAAAAGCTACCCCCCCAGGAATGTGGCCTGTGGACAAACCCTATCCGTAGCCTAGCAGAATTCCACATCCCTGCCCCCGCCATCCAGAGATCCAATGGTACAGGCTGAACGGGAGGCAGCACACTGACCCAGTTGAGGCTGGGCTCGCGGCTGAACTCGTGGGCACGGGCCGCGCTGAAATCATAGTCAGGCCGGAAGGACTCGTTGAGCGTCCTGATGAGGTAGAAGAGGGTCTTCCGGCAGCACTTGTCGCTCAGTGGGTTCTCGCCATCCTCACTGCTCTTAGCCAGTCTGTTAATGGGGGCCAGTAGCAGCAGATTACGGAGGAATAGAAGGGATGGTGGTTGGGCAAGACAAGGGTGTAAAGAGAAAGACAAAGAAAGCAGGAAGTGAGGAAATGCAATGTGAAGATCAAACACTACCAATATTTCCTTTCCTCCCAGGCCCCGCCTCCTCTAGAAGGACACACATCACCTGATTGCCATTGAGCACTTTGATTGAACTGCTCGGTCCACAGTACAGTCAGGCACAGTTAAAAAAAACCTCAGGGCAAACAGGAAAGTGGAACTCACTGGGGAGGGCTGGTGGCACTGGACTGTGGTGGGGACAGGGCTTCCAGGACATGTGGCTCCCCCTCCTGGCAGAACTGCTTAAACATGTGCTTGTCATCCCCTGCCATCTTGCAGGAATAGCTCTCAATCCTGCAAGAAAAACAAAACCAGGTAAAATGGGGGGCTGAATGAGGGTGTGTGGGGGGCTGGAATAGAGAGACAGACAGACTCAGC